TAGTCCCAGCTACTTGGGAGGCTGAGGCAAGAGAATCACTTAAGCCCAAGAGTTAGAGGTTGCTGTGAGCTGTGATGCCATAGCACTCTACCCAGGGCAACAGCTTAAGACTCTGTCTGAAAAAAAAAAAAAAGATAATATCCTAAATGTTTAACTTAGGAGATTGGTCAAATAAATTTAAATATACATAAATGATAAATATTTTCTATAATCATAATAAAGCCAATGATACCAATTCAGAAGAGAAAAAAAACTACTCAAAAGTTTAAATATATGGAAATCGGTTAGGCGCCTATAGCTCAAGCAGCTAAGACACCAACCACATACACCTGAGCTAGCGGGTATGAATCCAGCCTGGGCCCGCCAAACTACAATGACAAGTACAATCAAAAAATAGCCAGGCATTGTGGAAGGTGCCTGTAGTCCCAGCTACTTGGGAGGCTGAAGCAAGAGACTCGCTTGAGCCCAGAAGTTGGAGGTTGCTGTGAGCTGTGATGCCACAGCACTCTACCCAGTGACAGCTTGAGCTAGGTCTCAAAAATAAATAAATAAATAAATGGAAATCAAAAATGTTAAAAGTAGATACAGCGAAATAATGAAGTGTTCTTCTTCGTTTCCTACAATGTGTGTAGATTCCTACAATGAGATACATAACTGTTATAATAAAAAAAAAAACTCATAGCATCTCACCCAAGAAGCCACCTCCTTCAATTTCATCATAACTACTGTGGACTACCATAGATCCATTATTGGTATTTGATGTAATACCTAAGAAGGAAGTTCATTAACAAAATTATATTAGAATAAGCCATGCAATATTTGAACTAATATCCAAAATTTTACATAACTTTTCAAACAAATAGTTTAAAACCATAACCTGTCAAAAATGTAAAGAAAGAAAAAAATCTTCCAAAAAAATGCAAGTTCTTTTTTCTTTTTTAATTGTTGGAGATTCATTGAGGGTACAAGAAACCAGGTTACCCTGATTGTATTTGTTAGGCAAAGTTCCAAAGTTCCTCTTACAATTATGTCTTGCCCCCAAGAGGTGTGTCTCACACATGGAGACTCCACCCTGCTCCCTCCTTCCCGCTCTCTGCTCTTTCTTTCCCCCACCCTCCTCCTTCCTTCTCTCTCAGCTCTCCTCTTCCCCCACCCCCCACTGTGTATTAGGTCATTAATTGTCCTCATATCAAAATTGAATACATAGGATTCAAGCTTCTCCATTCTTGTGATGCTTTACTTAGAGTAATGTGTTCCACTTCCATCCAGGTTAATACAAAGGATGTAAAGTCTCCATCTTTTTTAATGGCTGAAAAAATGCAAGTTCTTTAATACATAAAAGCATCAATTAACATAACTACAGCTTCAGGGAAAGAAAACAAGAGTCTGGAAGGAGTCTTTCCCAAACAACAAGGCTTTTTTTTTTTTAAAGGCAAGGTCTCACTCTTGTCACCTGAATTAAGAGTGCAGTGGCATCATCATAGCTCACTGCAACCTCAAATTCCCAGGCACAAATGATCCTACTGCCTGAGCCTCCTAAGTAGCTGGGACTACAGGTACATGCCACCATGACTGGACAGCTTGACTTTTAAAAACTTCATTCTCTGGCAAAATAACTTCTAAAAAAGGGTAGTACTTTTAAACTTTGTCAAGTTTATGATACTATACACTATCTGAAAGGTTTCAGTTATAAGAGCTGCTGCATTATAAACCTCTAAAGAGGCTTGGCGCCTGTAGCTCAAGTGGCTAAGGTGCCAGCTACATACACCTAAGGTGGCTCGTTCGAATCCAGCCCAGGCCCGCCAAACAGTGATGGCTGCAACCACCCCCGCCCCCCCCCAAAAAATAGCCAGGTGTTGTGGCAGGC